AGGGGTCTCGGGAACCTGACTACGTCAATTAAGTCACTGACGGCGATGTACGGAAAATCACGAATAATGATGGATCCACTTCCGAAGTGGCGGCCATTTTGGCAATGTTAAAGCCCCGTAGACTTTGAATTTGCCGCCGTGTCAATACACTGGTTGAACTCGAGGGTTCGAATAAATGCAGGAAGTTTGGGAAAAAAATGATCTATCGATCGAACCTAGTTTGAAGGCCAAGGTATTTATACATTTTGAGATATGAGGCGAAAAGTGAGGTCCTTGGTACCGTGGGACAGACTATAGTAAAGACATTGATTTACTCATCCTAGTGTGTCTATTAGTGTAAGCCATGATAGAGGAGCTGTTATAGAGAAACGATATACTGGCGTCAATTTCTGTCAAACAGTAAGATTTTTTTCAAAAGGTGTTTTGTTGCGTTTGAAAAGGTCAAAATGGTGAGTTGTGTCTTAAGAATGAGTTAGAATCCATTTATTCACTGGGTCTTGAGATTACAATACATGACTAACAATTATTTATATCAAAGATGTTGTTGACTTTTTGTTTAAGTTGCAATTTTTTGATATACAATTTTTCAACATGCAGAGATAGGGAGAAGCTTTAGATATGTAACCTACATTTTTTGTTCTCCAGTGAGTCAAGAAACTGATGTTAACGTGATCTACTTACACAGCGAAGATTAACATAAAACCACGTTTGGGTCTCTATCAAATACATAATAAACAGCATGTTCTAAGCTGTTAACATATACGTTGCATTTTACAACAACTTTGCTTTATGTAGTAAAAACAGAAAAAAAGTGTGAAAATTAAGAAAAAGAAATAAATATTAGGATCAGTTAAGGTTATATATTAGGTTAAGTACATGAATACATTTTTAACAATTCTCAATACGTTGTACATTAGTTACGTGTGATTTCTTTTGTTAAAAGTGTGGGTTATTTGTACATAAATCACACTTTTCTATAAACTCCGCCCATCAAGTCGGGAAAAGAACTAAGCCGCAATTTTTAAAATCAAACATTTATCCGTACTAGATATACAAAATCGAAGAGAGAAAAAAAAATAAATTATAGAAAGCATTAGATAATCATTAACAATTGAAAACTTGCATTTAAGACCTTGACTTTCGTTAACAAATAAGAAACAGCTGCAGAAATCCCTTGATTTTTTTTTCTAAAAATAGTCTTGTGACCAGGAAGACATTACCTTTGTATTGAGAAAATTGTTTGGTGTTGATATCTCTTAAATAAATCCAATATCATTCGTTTATTACCAATGAGGAAAAACAAAAACTTGAATAATTGAGTTTTGGACTGCATCTATTCTAAATGTACATAGTAAATATTTATAATTGCTGAAAAAAAAGAAAGAAAGAAAAACAATAACAACAAGAAGCCCCTACGTGCCACCATGCCCAAGGAGAGTAGGTATCAGATAAAAAAAAAAAGAGAAATAAATTAAGTTCATAAAAGTTTTGAATTATCTAATTTTGACGTTTGAAGTTTACAAAAAAAAATTGATTTTTATCAAATCAACATGTCTCATTGAAACCAAGCACATTTTTTCAATATAACACAAAACAGTCAAACTTCTTAAGTTGCCTTAGATAGGATTAATTTTTGAAAACTATGGTACAAGTCACTTACCCCATATAATAATGTTGATTATGTGCAGATACCTGATGGGCGTGGTCATAATGACAACTCGGGAGCTACGCTCCCTCATGTCATTTTGACAACGCCCCTTGGGTATCTGCACATAATCAACAATATAATATGGGGTAACTACTACATAACCCACACATTTAACAAAAGAAATCACACCATCTAACTATGGTACACTATTATAATATCGAGAACTTTTTTTAATTTATGAAGAGAACAAGATGTGTTTGTGAAACACTGACGCCCCAGCATGATAGCTTATGGCGAAGGTTAAAGTTTCTCAAATGCAAGTCAAACTCCAAGGTCAAGGTCAAGAGATAAAAAATGTTGTTACCTAAAGAAAGGACTTGTGTCAATAGATATACCTGGTAAATATGAAAGCCCAAGCACCAAGCATTCAAAAGTTATGATCAAAATTAATGTTTTCTAAAAGTGGGTCATTCTCTAAGGTCAAGGTCAAAATTAATAGTACGCAGGGAAAGATCTTGTCATAAGAAATACACATGCAAAATATAAAAGCCCTAGCATCAACTGTTTAAAAGTTATGGCCAAGGTTAAAGTTTTAAAAAAGTAGGTCAAACTCTAAGGTCAAAATTGTTGGTATCCAAAGGAAGGTCTTAATTATCACAAGGAATATACCTGTGAAATTTAAAAGCCCTTGTACTAATTGTTCAAAAGTTATGGCCAAAGTGAAAGTTTTTTAAAAGTGGGTCAAACTCCAAGGTCAAGGTAAAAAATATCTACAACCATGGAAAGGTCTTAACACGATGAATACACATGTCTTAGCACCAACAGTTCAAAAGTTATGACCAAGTTAAAGTTGGGTAAATTTTTGCAAAAGTGGGTCAAACTCCAAGGTCAAGAGTTCAAATATGTTGGTACTCAAAGGAAGGTTTTGTCACAATGAATACACATGTGAAATATGAAAGCCATAGCTCCAACCAATCAAAAGTTATGGACAATGCAAAAGTTTTTGCGGACAGACAGACAGGGCAAGAACTCTTCGATTATGGGACATAAAAATTTAAAACGTCAGGTGCCTGTGCAAGCATGCGATTTGCTTTCGTTAAGACCAAGTTTCATTAATATATTTCAATGATAAAAATAAATCACTAAATACTAGGGGTGATCAAAAAGTTCGCGAACTAATTGAATTGCTTCCATAAAAGAAATAAAATTAGGTTTCAGTGTTCAATATTTTTTAAAGTAGTCCTCTCTGATTTTAATGCACATCTGTCACCGTTCTGTCCATGCGCGAATCAAGTGATCCAGGCGGTCACGTGACATGCTCCGAAGCATGATTTTTCCGAGTCTTATATTTCTTACCATGAAAGTTATTTTTTATAACAAGAACAGTCCATTAGTCAGAAATGGCCAAATCTCGGCAATAGGATGGGTGGATAAGGATTATCCTTTCCCAGAATGAGCATAGTGACCATCAAAACCCGAGTCCTCTGTCTTGGGGGCGTCGTTTATCCAATGTGGATAAAGCATGGGCGCGTTCTTTTTATCATATCTGATATGTTTAAAGTCTAATTTAAACGATACTTTAGGGAATTATTAATTATATTATTGTTAAAATGTTCAACTATTTTTCTAATTGTAACTTGGCGATCTTTCATAACAAATTGCTCAACTTAGGACACATCGCTTCCCCAGCTTGCCCTCACTGGGCAACAGAACAAACATCATTTTCAACCATCTCCCTTCCTTCACTAAAACAATCAATCCAATTAATGTAAATGTAAATATAGAGATAGTTCGCGAACTTTTTTATCACCCCTCGTAAATAATTTTATATTAATATGATCTCTATACAAAGATACTACTTACCTTTATCTTGCGTGTTTCTAATAATCCATAAAGGCAGCAAATCAAACCTCGTAAGCCAGCCTCGTGTCAAGTTTTTGAGAAATTCTGTGCAAGTGCGTTTACACGTTTCAATGGATCACGTGTTTTTCAAGATTTCCAGCAGATACAATTTAAGCAGTAAGAAGGGGGTGGGGTGGGGGATAGGCTGTCGTTAATTTTAAACATATAATGTACTTTGAAGTATTTCATTGAAGACAAGAAATTTGCCGGAAGATTAAAACTTTGAAAGTAATGATGTGTTCTGTCACACAATTTTGTAAAGGTACTGGAAATGAACTCTGTTTTTTTTGCTGACTTGAAAATTCTTATTGTGAAAGGGGATTAGGTTATGATAATTGCACATCAAAGCTCCTCCTCAGTCTTAGACTTGAGTAAAAATCTCATTCTTTCAATATATATTATTTCCCTTAAGAAGATTCTTTACAAATAGGAATGCGATTCATTTTCTCGTGAACTTGCATGGATATCTCTATGACGTCAAACATATAGTACAACATCTCTTTTTTCAAAACGACTAACTGTGCTCTAACAACCATGCTCTATTAAGATAGAACACGCCAGGGTAATGACGCAACAATTCCAATGACCCTTGACCTTACATTGATAAAGAAAAAGAATGTAAACAAAGTACCTGATTTATAAGCAAAATGCAAACACATATAAACATAGTAAAGGTATACCTTTCCTAATGTCTACATAAAAAATTCTAGATTTTGCACGTCATTTTTTAAAATCCAAAATGGAATTCACATAAGCACGAAATTACTTCACGTGCCGCACGCCACTCCTTGATTTCCTTGAACGTTTAAATTGCCACGAGTGTTAGAATTTTTATTTATTTATTTATTTTTATCTTATTATTATTTTTTGGGGGGAGTCTATCAAACGCTGGATTTCATGATCGGACACTTGTACAAACCGTTCATTTTTCATCTTTGTCTCGACCTCAGGACATTAACGTGAAATTGATAGATCATGGGTAACTCAATACCTGAGAACAATGATACGAAACATATTGAGTACCTTTTAATTCGTGCATCTTCAGATATCAAACTCGGGGGACAAGCCCCCTCGTCGAATATCTGAAGATACACTCGTTAAAAGGTGCTCTATATATTACAACGTAGTTATAAGATAGGAATTTTATTTTTGAAAATCCGTGAGGTACATGAACTACAACGCTTCAAGCCTCCAATATTTATCAGGAAACGCTAACGGCTTAAATTTAATTTTTGAAAGTTCATAATGTAGAAATGATTGATATATACTGCGGGGCCTTTTATAATTTTCTAAACTTTCTAGTGACCGTGCGCAGTAGCTCAGTGGTAGGGCGTGTGTCACGGTAGGCGTTGGTATGACAAAGAATTTCACTGCCCAATGGTCCTGATTGCCGAGTATAGGCCCTTCACCGGTATTTGGCGACGTCTCATATGAATGAACAATTCTCGTAAGAGAGACAGACGAAACGCATATTTATTACATACGATATGATAGTACTATATTCCACAGTTGAAATCATCGGTGAACAAATCAAACTCCGTGGAAGCACAATAACATAAATAGGAACTTTTATTTGCTTAAAGTATAACGCAAGTAGATTTTGACGCTTTATTCTTCTGAACGTTGAGTACAACTCCCCAAAATCTATATCTCATCAAAAAGCTTGTGTGCAGTATATGGCTGGAAAACTACAGTATGGATAGAAAAATAGCAGCTCTTACACCATTACCACTAAACTAGAGAGGCAGCTCAAGAGAAGTAGATTGTAAAAAAACACATGTATATTTCACATATTATTTATAGGTTTCAAAATCTCGTGAAAGGACAACTTTAAGATAAAGAATTTACCTAAAAATTACACATGATTCTAACTTTAAAAGGACAACAAATTCCTTTAATGAGAAACAAATTACAATTGTACAATATAATGGATTGTGACTGACGCAAAACAATGTAAAATAAAAAAAAAACTGCTTTAGATGATAACAATGCTATTGCAATATTCGTTTTAAGTTTATATGTTGATCGTAATGACCCACAAAATGATCCCTCTCTCTCTAGTGGCGTACAACAAATACAGGAACTTCCGAGTGATGGATGATGTAGTCACTCACACTACCAAGGATTGTTCTCCGAATAGTTCCCAACCCACGACAACCAGTAACAATCAGATCCGCTCCTGAATCCTTAGCTTTTTTGACTATACACTCCCCTGCTTCTCCAGACATTTTTACAAATTCAGCCTCCATCTGCAAAAAACAAGAGGATTATTATTTACCTAATGTTCATGTAGCATAGAGTTTTGCTTGATTACAATTAACATTATACATTTATTGACTGGGTTCGAGGGCAACATGCGTTTTGTTGGACCCAAGAACAAGGTTCGAGGGGTTGACAAAATGCATTTTGCCCAAGAACACAGTCAATAAATGTTTTGTTATACCTTTTATTTTTTTGACATACACGAATCTTGTGCTGGCTTCCAAGAAGTAAATTTCCTTTCCCACACTTCGGTAAAACTCGGTTAATTCTATCACTGCCCAACGCCAATGCAAATAAGATTTAGTTGATCACGCCCACAGTGTGACGTAAGCGGTCTAATATCTCATCGACAGGTCCATGCCCAATATCTCACTCTGCGGTCAAGTATCGATTTTTTTATGACCGCTCAGTAAATCATTAGAAATGTAGACTTTTTTAGTATAGATTTATATAGAAACTAATTTTTAAGGGTATAACAATACTTTATTTGATTTCAAACGTATATATTTAAAGTTATAAAGTATTATATAACTTTACACTATTTCTACGTGTAACATTATTGCTTTGTCTGTCAAAAATGAAAAAAAAGTAAAATTTTTAACAGAAAAGAATGTCTATCCTAAACATATATTATGAGGTCAATTTGAGGTGATTGTCGATGTCTCTTAATTTCTTCCTGACTGCCTTTGAAGTCACGTTGAATCGCTGCCTTTCGGATGAAATAAGCAAATCGTCAGGAAACCATTTCTCTAAAATTATGTCACCTACTTTAATCCCGCTTTGGCCTGGGTGGACCATCTGAATATTAGGACTAATGTGTAAGGAGTACAAAACAGGGTCTAAAGGGTATCTGGGTGACAGTACACAGGGCTGGATTGGAGAGAAACTAAGGGTGTAGAAGGGTAATACCACTCACCCCTAACCCGTCAGTTACGGTCTTCATTTTCTCTAACAGCTCATTAGCTTTCTTGTCTTCAGCAGCGAAGGCGTGTGTAATGGAGTCCGGATTCCCTGGCGTCATTGTGACAGCTTTTGGTGAAACATGCACTGTATTAATATTTCATTTCCATGAAGTATATGAATTTTGTAAATTCATAAAGCATGGCCTTTACTAGTGAATAATAAATGTTTTATTTTTAGTGTTTGAATTTTTGGAAACGTCGGTGGATGCCAAGAATTCACAGCATAATTTGAATCATTTAATAAATGTACTGCATAATGAACGGACAATACTGTAATCTGTAATGTTTCCATTAACTAAGTAGATTTTGGAAAAAAAAAATAAAACAGTGCAAAAAGCTTAATTGTTATTCTCTTCTTTAACATAATTTCAGAAGTAGAGAAATTATGTTGCTAGAGGTGTCCAAAACTTACATCCATATTGCAGGTGTTTGCGGTGGTCTATCGCTGTCACCAGTAACACACAGTCCCCGGGCTTGTGCACATTCTTCTTAAACCCTGAAAGCGAAAGTTAATTTTGTAAAGCTTACATGTCAAACTATTATAACTAATCGATTTAACTGGGCGAGAAAGCACACTTCGGAAAATGGCAGAAATATGACACCGTAACTTTATAATATCACTGTCAGCATCACATGATAGCTCTAGACATATTAAGCATTGTATCAAACTACGTCTTTTACATCAGATTTCATTCATATATGCATTTTTCAGCTCATGTTTTTTTTTTTAATAGAAGTGCAAAGTATCAAAGAAAAGAAATTAGTAATATTATCATATTATATATGGACAATAACACGTGTACAGACCAAATCGCGACACTTTTTTAATACGCTACATATCGGAGTATGCTTACACTTGACTGCTTCTGTTGCGTAATTGCTTCCGTCCACAGCAATTACACACGTTCTTCTGTCTTTTGTTTCCGCCATGGTTGTACACAGGAGGGAAGATTTTATCACAGTCCTTTACTTCGTTCAAGGCTGCAACTCTTAACTCTTTATCTTAAAGTGCACTACTTACATCAAATGGGTCAATACACCTCTTTTTATTTAAATGTACGGCTGTGCGCAAGTGGTAAAAATCAATCTTATTTCAAGAAAATAACACAAGTCCGATTAATATAAGGTACTTTTTTTTTTATTTAGAAGCTTTTTTTTCCAAACAATAATGAGCATTATACAGAGGTACTGCAGACATCACAGATAGTCGGACTGGAAGACAGGTTAGTGAAATGTCAGAGTTTAACATCATTCACAAATTTCTGATAATATTAGCGATGATAACGAGTCCAGTCAGGGTATATTTACTCAGGACAAGATCCCCACAAATGTTTGATGGGTTATTTAGCTCATTTCCTGAAACAAAAGAGACTGTGCATAATCGACTGTCTTCATTAATTGAACACTGAATAGATCCTTTCTGAACATATAAAAAATTTGATGTTTCATATATAGATTTTACTTCTTACACGTGATATGGGGGGATCAAATACACAACGCTAAAGATGGCAAATATTTTCAGAAAAAAATTGAAATATTTATTTAAGCCCTCATCCCTCCCTAGAACACACTAAAGATAGAAACCAAAACACAGTTAAAGTAAAATATAACATACACATGCAGTAATACGTATATACATGTATAATTAGGTAAATGCCTCACAACGTCAGGGATCCTGAGTCCACTAAGGTCTGTTAGACCCCTGACAAACTTCATTTAGGGCCAGCTTTACCATCCAATTGCGGCTTTCATTACATAAAATGTAAACAGAATGTAAGCAGTTGACACCTCAATGCATGTGTAACAGGTTGTTTTTCATGCACCGAAAGGCTTAGTGAGATTGGTTGAGAGATAAGAAAAACAATCAAGATTTGATATTGTCCACGGAAAACGTTGCACCCGTGAAAAGAAAAACGAATGAAGTTAATCAGAGGTTCAGTGGATCCCGAGACCCTGACGTGAGGATGAAATCAATGCAAAACCAAAATGTCCGACCTCCATATAATTTCAAAACGAGCGCTTTCGAGACTCATACAGTCTACAATTTATCAAATGCATCTTTATGTATTTACAAAACCTTTAAGCGAAGTTCTGATTGTCGAGAAAGAAGGTGTTCTCGTGTGCACATCATAGGTCATCGTTTCGTATGTTGTCACTGAAAGGTAGATAAAAAATAGAGGTTGTTCATTTGCTGAAAAAGTAAAATGTTTGCATGTTATATTGCAACATTATGATATCAACACACAGGAATGACATCACCTCAACCCCTTAACACCTTCAAACTACATGTATTTAATAAGAACAGTTTCTTGCAATTGTCATTATCAAATTTAAATAACGATTCTCTGTAAAAACTTAAACTTCTTTGCCACGCATGGTCACCGATTTTGATGAAACTGTGCCCATTATTACAATTTGACACCAGAAACACATAGGCCCTATTAAATAAAATGTCGTTGCTATGTATCTTGGTTACCATGGTAACATCCAGAAAATTTGGAAAAATTGAGATTTTCAGCTACTTTGAATCTTTATTAAGCCTTAATAAAGACTAAGAAAAACAAACAAACCATTCTCACAGAACATGACACTTTGTTGCCACTTATGCTATAAGGAAACTATTTAGAATTTATCTCTTAGTAAGTGGTAACCATGGGTACATTTGGAATACATTTTTAATACTGTAAAATGCTGAAAAACGCCCAGTATTCACTAATGATAGGTGTACATGATCAAACTCAATCAACAACTTAAGAAAAATAATAAAAATATTTGACCTTAAGTAATTAGGTATTGGCAACATTATTCTATAAAACTTTCATGGTTGCCATGGTAAAAGTGTAACTATCCAAAATCTGTTGCTAAGATTAAGTTAATGCTACTATCTTGAGGAAAAATATGAAAATTCAAAACTGGCAAATATACATCTTTAGGACCTTGCAACACCGACAACTTAAAAATAAATTGGGATTTATTGCTACTTTGCAGTGTAACCATGGAAACAACGTACCAGCTGTTTAAAGTGATATTTTTTGCTGCTTTAGGAATTTTCCTACCTTTTAATCAAGAAAAATATTATTTGACTCACATTGAATAGTACCTATCTGGTAGAGCTAAAGTTGAATATTATACTCTGTATATTGATAAAGTTTGATGAAAAATACAACACTGTTGCTTAGTGAAAAATTCTCGAATGGGACGTAAAACAACATACAATCAATCAATCAATCAATCCATAGCAACGCTCTATTTAAAGAATTTAATTTGAATTTTTTGAAATGTGAAAATTAGGACCACACCAACGCCTTTAAAAATTGATCACCAGCGATACAGAAAAAAAAAACAACAAAAAACAAAAAAAACAGGTATCATATTTCGTCCTTGGAGTATGTTACAAGGATCTTTTGTCTATTATTTGGTTGCATTTCAACCTATAATTGTGTTTATTTTTTAAGTGTATGACTTTAATAAATTGAATGAACAAAATTATTACTTTTGAATACTTTGTTTCCATAGTAACGTATGTAATATTTGATTTCCTAAATATGTTTATCATGCAATTAAGACATCAAGCCTCCGACTTTCGAAAACGATCATTGCCACTTGTTTGCTTTGCTTCAAACGTTAACTATGGGACTCTGAGCATGTTAAAAAAATTGCCATTTTTCAAACTTTAGGATATGTTGCCATGGTAACCATGACACATAGCAACCAATTTCTGCTTGATTAGAATTTCCAATACCAAAGACTATTATCATAGAGAGTTTGGAGGAATTCTCAGACTATGCGTGCCACAGCTCCTATATAAAAGTTCAAGTCATTATAGAGAATGGCTCATTAGAATAATTTAAAATATCTAAAATAGTTCCTTTGCTTCAAAATGAGTTTTCAACCAGGGTTCCATTTCACAAAAGAACTTAGGACTAAGACTAAAATATAATTCTGCGAATAACTTTCTTCTCTACATTAATTTGAGAATTGGAATACTTTTTTTTAAATAAGTTTGATAAACATTTCATGAAAGAAATTTTCAACAGTCATATTCATTTTGCAAGACCTAACACTTCAATAAAGTTTTTGGTCTTAGACGTAATTCTGTGGGAAAACGGGGTCCTAATGAAAAATAGATCTTTTCTCTCGCTCTTTATTTTTATTCTTTCAAACCTTTCAGTCACGAGCGACAGAATGGAAACAAAGAGCGAGATGGAAAATATCGGATCGTTCTCTTTTACACACCATATATGTACCGGTATGTAATGGTATATATACAATTATAACCATATGTCTCTTACATTTGTTGGCCGTCCTGCTTTTCAGCCTCCTGTTTGCCTTTCCGCGCATCTTTTATTGCTTTTTATTTGATACCTCCTTTTAAAGGTCAGTGGATCGAACTTGCCATGAAACGAATGCTGATATTTACCTGTATTTCCTCATAGAGTTCTAGTCAGTAGTAGTGAACATGGACTCAATAAAAATTGAACGTATTTCATAGTTCACACTGGTCGGTGATAGTTTCAGCAATGATGAAAATTGTATAATAAACAATGGATATATGTAAAGAAAAGAAAATGTTTTAGATAATAGCGATGTTTCCTACTGTCATGTAAATTTTGAATTTATCGGATGGCAGTAAATACAAAATTTACAACATGGCAACTAGTTGTCATGTTGCAAATTTTGAATTTACTGCCACCAGGTAAATTCAAAATTTACAACATGACACTACCGATGCGGCCAGCGTATGAAAAGAATGCAAAGCCACAATTACATCTAATGCAAAAGGAGTTGCTTTGATAAGATTTTCACCTGGCTTACAGAAGAGATACATGTTAAACTAAGTCGGTTTAGTTAAACGAAAAAACATGTTTTGAATCGCGGAGATGATCATCGCTTTTGTTCAGTTACTGTAATAAGTACAATTTTTTTTCCTTACGTAGAGATAAGCATTTACTCACGTCACGTTAATCTTACAGTAAAAAATGCTTTTTACTATCACGTCAGTTTAGGTTTAACCAAGAGGTGGTTAAAATTTATCTCAAAGTAGTTTTCTTTTTTATAAATAGGTGATGCTTACATGTGTTCACCATTATGTGTTTGTCAACAACTACCAAAAATTTAAATCAGTGAGCACGATGTCTTAGTTCTTTAAATTGGCATGTCAAACGTTTCAATATTCGATCTTTTTCATTTGTGTTGTATATTTTTGTGAAAAACTGCATAGAAAAAGCTTAATAAAGCTATATAACTATTTCAAGCTATATAGCTAAATTCAAAGATTGTACTGGACCTGTTTGCAATTTGTATTGTACATGTATTATTCTTTTATTTGTATTCTATGATTTTTCATTTGTATTGTATGTTTTCCATTTGTATTGTATATTTTTTTTTTGCATTGTATATTTCACAATTTGCATTGCAGAATTTTTCTATTTTTATTTTAAAATATTTAACAATTTGTATTGTTTATTTTTCATTTGTTTTGTATACTTTTATCTGTATTCTATAATTTCTATTCTGCGTTTCGTCATTTACATTGTATAATTTCCTTTTTTGTTGTATAAAACATTTGCATACCGTATAACGGGTATTTTCTGCGGTTGTCCAATTTTTGCGGAATTTTGCGGATAGGACAAATCCGCAAAAATTACAATCGCAAAATATTTTTCAATATTTCTTCAGATATATATTTTATACATGCAAGTATGGTAAGTGGTGCGTATGTCCTCGTTAGCGAGAAAATTCGGGTGTCATCGAAATTTGAAGATTTTAGATATCAGGATTTTTCCAAAACATATTGAATTAAAACGTTGCTGTAAGTAATATCAATTTAATAAGTTTATACAAAAACATCTTTTCTTGTACCTACTTCTTTATTTTATATGGATATACATGTACATGTAAATGACTAAAAGTGATTTCGCAATTAATAGTCCAAACTCCGATAGCTGCAAACAACACATAGTAGCTTTTCTTTCTTTCTTTAACACTTCTTTCAATCTTGTGTTTTATCTGGAGACCAGGGATGGGGTCAATTACTTTAAAAAGTAATTAATTAAATTACAATTACTTTGACTTTTTCTTCAATTAAATTACAATTAAATTACAGGCTTTCTAAGGTGTGTAATTAATTAAATTACAATTACTTTGCAAAAGTAATTAATTAAATTACAAATTACATTTTTAATTTTTTTTGAAAATTTTTATAATCCTTGTCAATGAATATACAGAACATCATTCATCTGTATGTAAGATCAGCCTCTGCACAAACAATACAAGAAATAATAAGCTATATAGGCATTGTGTATTTTGTGGTTTAATCTATAACTTTTATTTACTAAACGTTAAAGAAGTATCTGAGATCAGTTTGAAGCGCAAAACCTACATGTACATAAATTGCATGGCTTATGATATTTGATTAAAAGTGGGTATTTTAATAGAGTAAAATGAGTCACAACTGTAAACTCTCTAATTAAATAGTTCCTTTGAAAGTAACCTGAACATCCTAAATTGCTATTTATGGTGAACATTTTTACTTCAAAAATAATAATAGTACAGAACATAACTTTTTCAGATACAAAATTTATTCATTAAACATCTCTTTAGATGTTAAAATAATTATCAAATTGAAAGATTTTCTTTTCTAAAGCTAGCGGGTCATTTTTAATTGAAATAATTATCTCCATTGGTTTTGTCTTCTAAATCTTGGAATGAATACCTCTTTAGAGGGGTTGATTTGTTTTGATTGCAGTTTACAGCTGTGATTTGGAGGGCAATTATCTCTTTCCAACAAGAGAGAACTTAATTAATGACACACACAATCTATTTCTTTATTATTGACCAACAACAAAAATTGAAATATAATAAATGTGTGTTTCATGACTGAAAAGTTGGCCTAAGAAGGGTGGTACAAAATTTTGATAAATATAAAATAAAAAATTCAATTTTAAATAATGATTAGAAAGAAACTAGATTATTATTATGAAGTCCATCATTTATTTGCTCGTAAACATTAACTTAAGATTTTGTATAACTGAAGGATTGAGAATATGTTTTACAGTAAAATAAAAGACAGTAAAATGGGGAGGTAGTGGTGACAATATATCATGAATGTGTATTATATAAAGTAATTGAATGTAATTGAAAAAGTAATTGAAATTACATGGTATTTTTTCAGTGTAATTAATTAAATTACAATTACAAGTAATTGAAAAAATGTTCAATTACAAATTACTTCAAAAAATGTAATTCATTACAGTCAATTACAATTACTTTTTTCAATTACCCCATCCCTGCTGGAGACCATAATTACTGCTTGTATACACAAAGTGGCTTGATTGTCTCGTGAATTTCACACAATGCAGACGACTGACAGGATTAGTTACGCCTCAATGCACATGGCACCTGTGATTGTACACGGTCAACTTTAGGTTACTTGATTATGCAACTGTTTGTTTGAGCTTAAAATATGAACATCAGATTAATTTTGATGGCAATTAACTACCGGTATAAGTGTATTTTTTAGAATATGGCTTGGATGCATTAATTATCTATATATTAAAATATTTTAATAGATCGCATAAAACGTTTGTTACAATGTAGAATAAAGATATTTTATTGTTGTTTGGGTGGACGGATACTGCAATAATTCATTTCAATTGGGATTCGACATAATTTTACAAAGACTAACTGAAAGATAGCAGTTTGATTAAGCTTAATAGCTTAATACCAGTTCTCATGCAACTTTGATCAATATGTCTCAATGAATTTATAAAACGTAAACATGGCAGCTATCTGATAATTCTTAGAGACTGGTGATCATACCCAGTAAATAATTTTTTGCGGTTTAATTGCAACCGCAGAAATTGAAAACGCAGAAATTAATTTGCTATCTTTTAGGGGTTAAATCGCAAAAATTTCCAACCGCAGAAAATACCCGTTATACGGTAATATTTCAATTTGTATTGTACATGAGTTCATTTGTATCTGAAAACAAAATTTATCAATTTTGTATTCTATAATTTGAGTTGTAGGATATGTTTATTTTTCATGTCACGATGGGTGGTTTTATTGGTCGAAAAGAGGAAAAATCCAAAATACTTTGGGAAGCTTATACTTTGTACCTTTATGAGAGATTGGCAATGCTGACGAGAATGGACCCTGAGTAGTCTGGACATCAGAGCTTTCTGTTGTCCCTAAGATAAGAAGCAAAATATCAGAATGAAAAGGATACATTGAAGGAAATGTTTCATTGTATACAGGAAGAGAGAAACTAAATAATGTCAAAATGATGATCCTTTTGAATCTTGACATAATTACGTATATGTGTTAAATTTCTGGTATTTTTTATGCAAGATACAAGTATATTTTACAATTATATATGTATATTTTTCTCAAACCTTGATACTTCGAACTAGATGAATCTTCGAGGCATTCAAGAGTTTTAAAAAGTGTAAATAGAAGTTGATCGATATTGCCAACTAATGTCAGTATATACATGTACATGTACATTCGGTATTCGAAATTTATATATGTTAAATTTCTGGTATTTTTATGCAAGATACAAGTATATTTTACAATTATATATGTATATTTATCTCAAACCTTGATACCTCCAACTAGATGAATCTTCGAGGCATTCAAGAGAAGTTGATCGATATTGCCAACTAACGTCAGTATATACATGTACATGTACATTCGTCATTCGAAATTTAGACGTTCGAGATGGCGAAAGTCGACTGTATTGCAACTTATACTTTCACGGTGAACAATTAGAAGTACTGTACGACACAAAGTGCTTTTTCTATACTTTACTGGCTTTGAGAGACTCGTCAATTAAATGTTTTGGCAATGATTCAAATCCGTTCATTGTCGGAAATATGTACTAAAGACCGTTTGATATCCAACTTTTACCCACACCTCCCTTTCGAGGGAGAAAATTCTTCAAAATCATAGGTCAGTTTTAAATACATGTGATTTTAACATTCAAAACAACCAAAATGAATTTTAATTATTATCTATATTGGATTCAATAAATGTTCTACCAAGTTTCTTTCTTTACGAATCACTAAAATATTAACAGCAGTGAAGGAGAAACTTCAAGAGTACTGTGCAACAATATATCCGAGAAGTGGTGTGAATCACATGTGGATTCTTAAAAATTCAAGGGAACTTTTGAAAAATTGGAAATCATAAAATTTTACCAAAATCAATAGCAACAAAACTTACGACTTTTCAACTCTATATACAACCATTCCCCATGATGAATTAAAGTCCAGGCTTTTTGACATCATTGACATCTGCTTTTTCAATAAAATGGAACTCGTAAATTTACTTACCTTGTCAATGGTCATTTGCAAAATTATTTTGTTAAAAACATTCTGATTGTACACACAAGTTCCCTGAGGTTGATATTAAAAAGATGCTTGAGTTTCTCTTCGACAATATCTATGTGGTTTTTGGAGACCAGGTCTTCCAATAATCTGTTTGATTTTCCATGGGTACCAATTGCGCCCCGTTATTAGCAGACCTATTTTTGTATTCATATGAAGCAGAATTTATTCAAAATCTTATTCATGAGAAGAACAAAACACTTACTGTGGCCTTCAACTCGACATTTAGATAACAATAGTTATTTCCATTCATATGTCGACACGATATGTTCCAGTGAGTTTGAAATAAAAGTTACCACAGAGTCTGACATATCTGTTTCATATTTGGATATTTTACTAGAAAAAGACGTTAATGGTAATCTAACAACTAAGCTCTTTGATAAACATGATAACTATAACTTTTTAATCATCAGCTTCTCTTACTTATGCAGCAATTTAACATTATCACCTGCATACGGGGTTTATATCTCTCAATTGATTCAATGCACCAGAGCATGCTCTATGTAAGAACAATTTCTAAAACGAGGTAAGTTATTGACAAACAAGTTGATAAAATAAGAATATCTCGTTTAAAGTCATCATTTCTTAAGTTCTATGGTCGATTCAATGACCTTGTCAGCAAATACAATCTATCATTAAGTCATATGCAGACTGACATTTTTTTTAATACTAATTGTTAGGCCATTATTCACACACTGAATTGTCTACGGATTTTCCCGTTATTTCCCGATCATGACAAGCAGCACATGGCGGGTGTAACCGGTCGGCAGGGGATACTCACTCCTCCATTGCACCTGATCCCACCTCTGACGTTTTAGATGTCCGTATTTGCTCTGCTCTAGTCCGAAATATCTGACGTTTTCCAGGCTTTTTTCACGATTTTGATATTTTACGTGCCAGGAAAACGTCAGAACGCCATTACGAAAACTGGAAATTCGCCGCCTCCAACCAGAGGCGGCATTCTCGGGTTGATTTTTGATACTTGCAAAGCGAATGAAATGTCATACCCACAATTTATCAATAGTTCAATGCTTTTAGTACTCACCAACATCGTTTTTATGGTTTGTTTATAAAATATACAATCCGATGAAAACACTTTTATCTGACTGTCGAGATTTGTTTTCATTTCGTGCATTTTAAAATCTTTCAAGTCCTGTATCGAAATGATGAGTGATGTTTTCTTTTCATCGATATTGGTGAGTACTAAAAGCATTTTGTTATTGATAAACTGTGAAAACAGCATTTTATTCGGTTCTCAGGTATCGAAAATCAACTCCGATTGGAGACGGAGAAATATCCAGTTTTCGTAATGGCGCCGGTTCTGACGTTTTCCTCTCACGTAAAATATAAAAATAGCAAAAAAGCCAGGAAAACGTCAGATATTTCAGACTAGCTCTGCTCCTGATTTGTATAGTTTTGAATGGACTATTGAGCTTGAATACTGTTCGTTATCTCCATATCTTTCATCCATACATTTTAAACACGGCACTTGAACGCATTTACTTACGTGAATATTGTACATAAACGTAATTAACCTGTCTGCACATAACATTTTCTCTTGGATATACATTTAAGTATCCGAGTATTTTTATTGAGTTTTCTTACATTGTGTAAGCTCCTGATCTTCTCAAATATTTTCTAATATTGGGCTTAGAAAAGTGATGTAAAGTTGACGCTTTTAGCATATACCTGTATCTCCTTCTTTGAGAACCCGGACTTCCGTTGTCATTTGGAATGGGCTACCGAATCCTTGATCCACGACACATAGGTATCTCCCACTGTCCGCTACACTGACGTATTTGATGATCAGTTTTCGCCAGCCGTAGGTAGAATCACTGATTGAAATCCTTTTTTCCTCTATCAGTACTGTGTCAGGGGGACCATACGCCATTGGAACTCCGTTCTTCTGCCAGATGAACTAAATTATATGCACAAGTATTTTCTTTGTGTAAATACTATGCTTATAGATTATTATACAGTTTGTTAATATACTAATTCAATGCATTTTATTGTGTTGTGTTGGTCGTATTATTGTAAACACACAAACCTACCTTAGAAGAACTGCTGAGGACTGGACATGGAAGTATTAAAGTATCTCCAGCAAAAACTTCTTTTGGAACTAGAAAAAAAGTGATTGGCAGCTTTAGATGATAGAAAAAATAATAATTATCGCCAATCCAAAAACAAAGGGGTCGAATAAAAATGTTTTAACAACATCAATATGTATAAAATTATTCTGTACACCAGAATTTGTATGTAAATTCATCCATTATTTCCTCCACTGACCTATATTTCCTGTTGCCTTTGATGTGGTTTTTGGAATAACAATATCACTGTCCTCTATCAATAATCCTGATGTCTGTTGGTTCTGATCAGCTCTTGGTGTAGATTCTAATAATCAAATGTAATGTGCACAACTATAACTCTAAGAAATGAATATATTCTTTTATTTCGTTTGCCTTCTTTTTCATTTCTTCTATATACTCATTCAAAGTAGAAAAAAAACTTTATTTCATTTCTACATTAATCATGCATTTTTGAATGCTTTATCTACAGAAATACTTACTAATTTTACATATATAATATACCTATGCTCAGTTGACTTTGCACCTGTACTGTACTGGAATAGGTAAGTCTAGTACCGTTAATGAGTGTTACAATACACAAGTAATATCCTTCATCGTAAGTTCTGACATCATTTATAGTGAGTTCACGAACCCCCGCTTGAGGGTTACTAAGTGTTACCCTGGTTCGTTCAGATTTCACCTCATCCGGTGGGCCTGATGCCATCGTTGTTTCTTCTTTGATCCAGACAAACTAAAAATTGTAAAGGTGTTGATATTTCAAACTCATTAATACATATCTGGGTGATTTGGATAATTAGGAAGCGTATTAGGGCCGCAGAAGTACCTTTTATTAATTTGTTTTAACAAATTGTCAACAGAATAGTAATTTGTTATATCATTTTACTAATTTGTTATAACAAATTATTAATTTGTGTTACAAATTGATAATTTGTTATAATAGATTGGAAATTTGTTACATCAAATTACTAATTTGTTATACCAAATTACTAATTTGTTACAGCAAATTACTGATTTGTTATATCAAATTGATAATTTGTTAAAACAAATTAATATTCAAAATATACTGCTGCGGCCCTAATATGGTTCCGTAGGATTATAATACAATTGGAGGCAGCAACAAAATGGTACGATAGGCCCACCTCTAGTTACAATAATTTAAAAGACGCCCTTAGTCTCGTTACCTTTAATTGTAACTTCTTAAACAGATTCACACACTCTGAGAAATTTCTGTTTTCTTGCTAGCTGACTTAATTCCAGAATTTAAAGCCTTTATAAAAAAAAATACTCAACAAGCTAAAAACAGAAAAGAGATTAATACATCTACCTGTACGTATGAAGTTGTCACTTTACATCTCATTGACACCGTTTCTCCAACAAACGCAACAAGAACTGTAAAAAGATAGTATTCCAGGTATAAATATATATACAATTATTGCAGAAACAAATCATCAGTTTAGACTATATGAAAAAGTTAAAGAAAAGACATATTCCTTATCACCGTTTGATTTCCCCGGTTTTATTAGTACCAGGGATAAAACCATCAGTACTAAAGCACGCCAATCCATTGTGTTATTGTTGAGTAATCAAGTGATCGAGTATAGTAACACTATAGGGAGAAATGCAACCTTATGATGGCAGTAGCTATATGTAAGGTCGAGTCTAAAGAGGGTTCTACTTTACATTCCAAAACACCTCTTCAGGACAGGAATACACCAAGCACTGTCCTTCCTGTCAAGTATTTTTGATTACTAATGTCAAGTCGTTTCCCGCAGCTTTTACTTGTTTGCGCCGTACACTTGATACAGTATGGCTGTATCAAATTCTTTGAAAGAAATTTAATGAACACTCATTCACCTTCTTGTTCTTAGAGATTTAAAAAAATCGTATTTTCCGCATTAATTTCTTCTGGTGAAAATCGTAGTTTCTCAAACTATGTTGGGTTATTTCTCTTTGCTTTGCAAGTTGTACTCCGATATTGTTGCGATGTTACATGTTATACAGCGGGTTTTACTTGGAGGAGAGTGAGGGGGAACAAAATTAACCATAGATTTTATATTGAAGACATTCATTGAATATTTGACATATGCTGGACAATTAAAACAGGTTGAATGGTTCTTACAGTGATCAACATGACCTCCGTACTTAAAATAGAAATATACAATGTAAGAGTTTAAAAATTGATATCAATATCTGTATCATTTTAGATCTTAATTGTTTTCAAGATGTTTAGTAAATATGCTGCTCATCTTACAAATTATGGCAGATACACCTACTTGGCTGTCACTGTTACAAACACTTTCTTATTCATTAATCTAATAAATATTCTTTCTTTAATCAATCATGGATATAAAAATATGTTTTCCATGATAAAGTTTGTAATATTCACCCTCATACGTCATACCAACCCTACATGTTAAATGAACAAGAGGCCTATGAGTCACCCGAATATAATACAACTCTGTAAAGGATCAAAGAAAGTCTAAAATAAAACAAAATAAACTGAAAGATGAAGATATGTTACCCAAAAGCAAGAGAAATAGGATGATCAGGGGCCAACAAAAGTATTTGTTTAGTAATCAGTAACAAATCTTAAAGTAGATCTATTTACTTGCGTGTACTTGTCAGTGATAATACATTCCCATTTGTCACCATCACCATGCAAACTAAACAAAACGATAATGCTAGATCAATTTCATTCCCTCTCACTTTGGCTTCTCTTGGTCTTTAAAGAACATTTAATGTAAAAAGATAATCCGTCTCATTGTTATTTATCTATATATTATTCACAAGTTTCCCAGACCATTCAAAACCATGAAGTACTTTTTGTATTATACATTGAAAGTTCTTTCATAATTCTTTTATTTAATTGACCAATCAATTACATGATTAACAATGATTAATCATCATAGGTCAAAAGCAAAGGGGAATAACTTCTATCAGTAGAGTACAATTTTTCCTACAAAATCAATAGAGCCTTGCTCAGCACCAGAACACTTGACCAAGTGGTCCAGATTTTCAGAAATCTTTTTTAAAAAATCTGTTAAAAAAGCTGATTACTCTGTTTCTTGGATGACCAGGAGCAGAGAAGAAGATTTCAAAGATTAATGCATTTTTACTAGTATATAATCAATAGAGTCCTGTCCTAACAGCAGAACCCCTGACCTATGAGCCATTAAAGAAGAGGTACCCCTACTTATCATAACTATCCACTGCTAAAAACCCAAGAGCAGAAAACAAAGATTTTAAAAGAATTAATGCAGTTTTACTATATAATGAATAGAGTCCGTCCTAACACCAAAGCCCTTGACCAAGGGGCCATGAAATTTACAATTTTGAAAGAGGCAACATTGCTCATCATAATTATGCTCTTAGTATATTTGCTAAATATTAAGGGGAAAGGAAAAGATTTTCAAAGGTATAATGCATTTTCACTATGTAATCAATAAAGTCCCGCCTTACTCGAATCCCTGACATAGGAGCCACGAATTTCACAAATATGGAAGAGTCATAACCATACAGCTCGTTTATTTGCTAAAAACACAGGATAGAGAAGATTTTCAAAGAATTAATACATTTTCACTATCTAATCAAGAGCCCCGTCCTAACACCATAACTCATAACTTACGGACCATAAAATTCACAGTTTTGGAAGAGGCCCCCTTGCTTTTCATAACCATGCACTTAGTTTGTTTGCCTTAAACCGAAGAGCAGTGAAGAAAATGTTTTTCACTATATAATCAATGGAGCCCCACCTTTACACCAGAACCCCTCACCTAAGGACATGAATTTCAAAATTATGGAATATTATAGGCATCCTTTGTTATCATAACCATGCGCTTAGTTTGTCTGCTTAATATACAGGGGGAGAAAAGAAGCTTTTAAAAGAATTTATGCATTTTCGCTGCGTGATCAATAAAGCTCAGCCCTAACACCAGCCCTAACTCCAGAACGCCTGACCCTGGGATCATGACTTTCACAATTTCTGCCTGTTAAGATCATGCTAACAGTTTAACTTCTTGATGTCCAGAAGTGAATAAGAATTTTTAAATTTGCATTAATTTTGATGGGTTTTGGTCTCAACCCTGAGGTCCCCCGGGAGGGGGACATGGGCCGTGAGATTTATAATATCTGTACACCTTTCCCCATAGATGCATTTACCAAAATTGGTTGAAAAAGTTTATCCATGTATAAGAAGAAGCTGAAAATGTTCAAAAGTTTACGACCGACACACGACCATGATTCATGTGATCTCAAATTTCAGCCTCTTTTAGGGTAGTTTTACGAAAAGGGACTTTAAAATTAAATGTTGAGCATGATATATATTGAATATGAATTTCATGTGGTTTTGCTTGAAAACGTAGGAGTTTAGTCCCAGGATTTTTAATTAATTTTTATTATGATAATGATTATATATACACTGTAATTGCTAAAGCATATAAAATGCAATTGGTTCTACATTGAACCATGGTGATTTCAAAAATCCCGATCTTAAACAAGGCTTATATACATAAGTAAGAAAGAAACTGATTATCTGTGTTGAATTCATGTTAAAAAAAATATCAAGTAAAATCGTTAAAAGTAAAACGTGGGGGAAAACAACACCCTATACACCATTTAGTGAAAAGTCATTCAGTCATTCTCTGTAATGACTTGAACTCTTATATAGGAGCCGTGGCACGCACAGTCACAGAATTTCTTAAAACTTACCATGATAAAAGTCTTTGATTAGGATAAACTTATATCAGGCAAAAATCGGTCGTGTATGTCATGGTTACCATGGCAACATAACCTAAAATTAGCATTTTTGAACACTCTCAGAGGTATGTTATTTATTTAGCGTTTGCAGCACTGAAGAAAATGGCAATAGCTGTTTCCAAAACTTGAAAACTCGATGTCTTATAAGGATTTTGGGAAACTATTACACTGTACATACGTTACCTTGGAAATAAAATATTGAAAAGAAATAACTTTTTTCATTCGTTTTGATTAGTCTTGCGTTTAAAAAAATAAAACTAATAAAATTATTATAAGTTGTAATGCAACCAAATAATAGGGAAAGATCCTTGTAACATGTTTTAAGGAAGAAATGTGATATTGTTTACTGCATATGGTTGCTATGGTAATGGTACCGAAAAGTGGTTGGGAATTAACTCTATGTATGTTTTTATCTGTTTCTATCTCTTTATAGATCACATTTCTACCTGACTGGAAAGCTGTCTTTAAAGGCAATGGTGTGGTCTAAATTTCCACATTTCAAAACTTACCCTAAAATCAGAGTGTTGCTATGGAAATTATATGAAAAAATATGTATAAAAATCTAAAAAAATCTAAAAAGAAATTGTTTTCTTGAATACATTCCCTTGTACGTAGTTTCCCATAACTTTTTTTCGAATGATATTTATGAACAAATAATTTGACTTTCAGTTCTGGCTACCACAAATCTCTAGCTAGATGCTAGAAGCTACCGCATAGGGTTCAATATTGCTATGAAGTTAACAAAACTGAACATTTTCTCTACTTGGTTACTGTAGACATTGTATTTTTTCCATTAAACTTTATCAATTTATGACATTTAACTTTTGTTCTCTGACATTTAGTACAATATATAACATGTTACATGATTAAAAGATAACTCAATTCCCAAAGTAGCAACTCTGGAACAACCTACGCAAATATTTATAGCTTACATTTTTGTTTATTTCTTTTATCCGATTTCCAAATTTATAATATACATGTATCCAAATTCATATTTTAAAATTGCCCTTCCATATTATCTTTCTTTAGTTTCTTTTTATCATGTATAGTCACGCTATATTGAGAGAACAAGACAGTGTACGATTTACTACTTGGTCGTAATTATTTAGCGATAATTAATTCGTTCAATTATGTAAATCGCACTTCACTAGAGTACACGCGATAGACCGGACGCAATTCATAGCGCTCCGGATTTCTTTCTTCACAACTGTTTATAAACTTCAAATTAAAAATGTAACACTGTAAATATTTAGTGTTTGGTAGTTTAGTCGTAGTGCTAGTTGTTTTTGTTTCTCTGTTTCCTTTGTTTTTATGACTTCTTAACTTTTTTCTTTGTCCTGAGGAAGGGACAGGTCGTCCCGAAAATTTGACAATTTTTATTGTTCGTGTCGTTGGTCATTTTTAGTGCTTTATATATATATATATATATATATATATATATAAATTAAAATAAAATCCAAGATAAACAAACAAGTTCACATTTAATTATTATTAATGTAATAATTAAATGTTAACTTGTTTGTTTATCTTGGATTTTATTTTAATTTATAACCTACCTATACCGTGGACTTTTACTACAATTTCACTATATATATATATATATATATATATATATATATATATATATATATATATATATATATATATATATATATATATATATATATATATATATAATCAGGGGTCTAGAATTACGCTTTCCCGTTGCCCGGGGCAAGTGAAATTCATCTCGGGAAAGATAGTTTTCATGATAAACTTACCCGAACGGGAAAGTAATAAATTTCAGGCTGAGCCAGCAAAACTTTTCGAGTTTATTAAAAGAAATCAATAACAATAAACATCCAATTACATTGTATTAGAATCTGCACAAGTCTGCTACATTTCGTTTATTTAATCTCCAATACTTATCATAGGAAGTCCAATTACTTGTATAATATCGGAACCAATCCGGAAAGATCTCAAAATTACGGAATGGCTTTTAAAACAGAAATGATGTTTTGAAAACAATGTTTTGTCAAAATGTGATTAAATCAATAGATATTTTAACAAAATAATAAACAAGTACATAATAATTGCTTTTAGATGGTGTATACATTAAAACCACACAGTAAAAAAAATAACAAAATAGAGTTGTTTATATTTTTCTAGATTTTTGTTTTCGAGTTCTGTTTTAGGTTAATTAATGATATGTTTTCAAATAAATAAACCAGTAAATTAAATGTTTTTATGATATGTTTTCAAAAAAAAAAAAATCAGTAAAACTAGATGATTTTCTCCATCTTTTTGGGGGCAAGTGAATTTTGAATCTGGGCAAGTGGATTCCCAGTCATTACCTGCCCGTGGGCAAGTGAATTTTAAAAAAAATTCTAGACCCCTGTTTTATATATATATATATATATATTTATATATATATATATATATATATATATATATATATATATATATATATATATATATATATATATATATATATATATATATATATATATATATATATATATATATATATATATATATAAAGTGTGCTGATTTCTCGATAATTAAAATTGAATGTAGAACTAAATTTTGCCAAGGGAAACGTGTAGTGCCTGTTATGCATTTCAATCTCTCTCGGCTGTCTTTGTGTGTGACGTCATTTGGGCGAGGACTATGGAAATTAACATCGAAATCCTCGTGTATTAGACAGCATTTTATTGATATTTACACCATTATTTCTCTTATAAATGTAAAGATTCCCTGTCTAATTTGTTGGGTATGCAGCAAGGCCCGGGTCCTGAATTTTTTTCCAGGGGTGTAAAGGGGGGGGGGGGTCCACCCCAGTCAAAAAATTTCTAACCCCCAGATTTCTTGACAAGCTTAAAAAAAGGTTCACGTTTTCTAGAGTGGGGGGGGGGGGTTACAAATTCATTTTTTTATTTGCTTCAGTATATACATTTACTAACTCTGCAAATTTCGGGGGGGGGGGGGGGGGCACACCCCCACTAGATCCGCGCATTGATATGCCCGGGACATCAACAAGAGAAGGGAACATGGGTTATTTCGCGTGACGGGCTTTTGAAAATTTTGAATGTCTTTGATTTTTCAGGTTTGTTTCATGAATTCCTTTTCTTCTGGCCTATTGAAATAAAATTTATACAGTTTTCTGATTAGAGAGAATGTTTCTAACGTCATTTTTTTCATCTCCTTATCTATATGAATAGCTCGTCCATGAAAAATATTCCAAGAAAATGTGTATTTTGCTACGATTATTCGGTTATTGACTTGCAGTTAACCGTTTTTATTTTTTTATCTTAATACGATTAACATCCATATTACACACACACACACACACACACACCCTCACACACACACACACACACACACATATATATATATATATATATTTATATATAAAGAAATTAATTTTTTACATACTGTGTACTACATGTATTATGAAACATTTTGGTAACTTTAAAATTTCACATTATTTTCCCTTTGTTTGTCTTCTGTCTCTCTTCCTAGTCTGCTCCCTGTTATTTTTTCCTAATCTTTACATTATCACACTTACTGATGTAATAACAACATTAGGACACAGAGAAATTCTCGAGATTCGATGCGGTTATGAAAGTATAACCTTGGATTTCATTGGGATGGTTACAGCCCATTGCCTTATGGAAATTATAGAAGTAATTTGTTTCATTTACAACAAGTTGCAACAAAATATGTTTGTGAAACACGGATGTCCCCGTTTGCTAGCTCAAAGCGAAGGTTAAAATCTCTCAAATGCAAGTCAAACTCGAAAGTCAAAAGATCGATTTGTTGGTACCTAAAGAAAGTTCTTGTCACAAGGAAAACACGTTTGGAATATGAAAGTCCTAGCACTAACCATTCAAAAGTTAAGACCAAAGTTAAAGGTTTTCAAAAGTAGGTCAAACTCCAGGTCAAGGTCAAAAGATCAGAAAGAAGGTCTTATCACAAGAAATACACATGTGAAGAATCTGTACTAGCACCAACCAAAAGTAATGGACAAGGTTAAAGTTTGGTAAAATTTTGTAAAATTGGGTTGAACTCTAAGATCAAGGTCAAGAGGTCAAATACATGTTTGTTGAAATCCAAAGAAGGTATTGCCACAATGAATACACATGTGAAGTATGAAAGCCCTAGCTCCATCCAATCAAAAGTTAAGGGTAGTGTTAAAGTTTTTGCGGACAATCAGACAGACAGACGGACAGAGCAAAAACTATATTCCTCCGAATCATTAAGGGGACATAAAAATAAAAATAAATGCATTATGTTTAAGTATTTATTTACTCATCTGGTATTAGATATTGGGAAAAAACTGAAGGATAGCATAAAATGTATTTATCAACAAATCTCATTCATTGTAATCGGAATAGGTTCGGTGAGTGACAGGCCCCACTGAGCTGCTGGTTAATTCTTTGTCAGATGGTTGTAAAGGGTGGGCTCTCATTTTTCGACACCTGCTGAGGAGAACACAGAAGTAAACAATGTGTCTGAAAGTATACACAATGTAAAAGCCTCTCTTCTCATCTTTATGGCTTAATGATTAAAGTTTTTTCATTGTTGCTTTGTTACAATAATCTGTTTATTTTGTAAAAGAAATAGTGGTGAATTTTCTTATTAGCATACTAGTATAAGCTCTGCATTTCACAATAAACTTTGGAATTCGCAACATGTGTAATCTGGCATTTATTGCTAAAAAGAGTCTTAAATTCAAAGCTTCAACAATACTTCTTAAATGTATGACTCGTCCATGTCTCTTTATGGAATATAATTTCTTAACCTGATACAAAAACTCAAGCATTACAATTAACATCCTCTTAGTAGTGAGTAGTGAAACATGGATAGATCAATCAATTATGTGAGACATTTATTGCATAACTCTAAAATCGATGGCCACAAAACTTGAATTGTCCACAGTGGTACCACTGTGACCAGCTCCCTCGGTCCCGCCTATCCTTTGTAAATTGTTGACCTGTTTTCTTTTCAAACGACATCCAATTCTCAATTATACATCTTAATGCGCCTAATTAACTTTCAAAGTAAATTCAATTCACTCCCTGCCACGGATTATCAGAACGGACCCCATGCGATGAATATCCACCAAAAAGAAAATTTATGTTGAAATGTGTTTGATTGGCAAGCCGAAAGCTTCCGTCACAGCACGAAGATGAAAACCACATCACCCTTCTTACCGAGATTCTGCGGCTTCTAACGAAGGATTCTATTGGATGACTGGTTATTCAGCGCGTGAAATTTGGTCGCGTGCAATCCATCGTCAGCAGTTGAATTGAAATTCATCACCGCTGGATGTAAATGAAGAAAATCTAGTAAAATAAACGAAGGAAACTGTCAATATTTAATGACCAGAAACTAAGCAGGCAGATTAGACACGATACAACGGTAAATAATTACGATACGGAAATAATGATGGAACTAAAGATGATGTAGTGTGTCGGGCTCACCATTAGCAGGAATTTACCGTGAACAAGCAGGTGAGATTCTGTATCTTTTTTTACGTGTCATTTTTTTTTTTTTGCTGCGTGATCATTCTACTAAAACTCAAGCAAAGAAGCGGTGATGTTTGAGTAGATAAATCTGTCTGTTCTGTAATGGTAGACGGGGATTTTTCGATGTAAGTTTGGGTATGAAATATAACTATTGACTTTATCTGCCTGTTAATCAGAGAAAGTTAGACAAAAGTATTTTTAAGTAATATTTCCATTTGAAATAATGACAGTTTTGATGGCTAATTAATAACAAACTGCTGCCTTGGTTTGAAGAAACATCAATTTATTTCTGGTAATAATTCTCTATTTACTTACATTGTTCGACATGCGATCGGTATCACTACATGACACAGATGCGCAGATTTTGACAGGTTATTCTGAGTAAAATGTCAGCATTAAACTGGATATTGATCAGAAAATCTGTCCAAAAGCCCGCCAACCATTCAAGTTGCCGACAATGATATTATTACGGTGATTGTCTAACGCAGACTTTCACTAGAGTCCATACGGACACAGCATCCAGAATGACAGGGACAAACCTATAGGATAATTACTTCGGAATAAGTACTTCATTTGTTTGATCGGAAAAATGTCTGTAGCAGTTAATTGGCGGATACAAAAAATTTTGTGCAGATTAAAAAACAACACATTTCAAAAGTTATATTTAATTTGCTGGTAAGTGCTTGTATTGGTATTGTAGAAGGTTGCATCATTATTTCAAAGAAAATGCGCAAAGAAAAAGTATACGATGTATTTTCAAACAAGAAGAATGGCATTTCTCATTATTATAACTGGTATAAATCAAATCTTCTAACATTTTGATGCCGCTGTCTATTCAAATGTCGAAATCATTACAAGTAGAGGGCAGGGGGATCTCCTTCGCTATGGTTACATAAACCTACACCGTATGTAAAAATTGGCTTCATTTATTGCCTATGTAATTGATATTAGACTACCTAGAAGGTCAAGAGTTTGCAACAAGATGCAGTAAAACCAATTATCAACAGCCCACTACCAAAAATGAATCATACAAAATTTAATTGACCCCCCCCCCAACTTTTCATCTCTGCTGGAATCGAGAGTGGACGTCTCAAAACTTAGCGGTATTTCATCACGGACGCTGTGGTAGTTTCTTTTGCAAACATGCATCATCAAAATTGTTTGTGTTAAAAAAAGTAAATTGCCTCTGCCCTGCATCACAGCCCACAGCCAGTGCAATATACAGTTACTATTTCCCTAGCCATATCAGATAAATACTCGTTACAGCACTTGAACATTATCTTGGCAAATGACCATATTTTCTAATTAAATGAAGAACCCTTGTTACTTCAAACGAAGAGCATCAATCTTAACCCGCAATACATATGCACAATGGTGATTCTTCAATGACAGATATCTCATATCTTTAGAAAACAGTACTAATATCAACAGTATGTGCTTGAAAAAAAGAAGAAGTGATATCTTAATTAATATGAGGATAATTAGATAAGCTGCCAATAATCGAACATATTCGTTTAGCTCTATAAAATCCATAGATGAGTTTACCAAGTTCCCCTCCTATATAACACATTAACGTCTAAACAACGGAAGGTGAGACGGTGTATGTAAGCTGTTCCGAATAATAAAACCGTAAATAGCACCCGGCAGGGCCTCTATCAGAAACAAGGAATTTATCGATGTTTTTTTACTAGACACAATCAAGAATTAATTCGGGGACAGTAGGTAGTTTCATTTTCAAGTACTTAGTGATATGAGTTTGAGTGGGAGGATAGATCTGCCGCTAATTACCTACAATTACAGTGTGTATAGCACTCAAGTTCACCAATGGGCAACAAAACTTAAGGAAAGATTATGTTGCAGATCGCCATCTCAGGCATGAGGAATCCGATAAAATACTGTGACCAGTATGGAATGGTCAACCACCGAAGACCTCTTTTGACTTTTGCGCCTTGTCATGATTTTTAAGTTATAGAAATAATGAAAGGTCTTTTGATTTGAATTACCTGCGCAGTCGTTGTCGACCATCATGTACTCCTTGTATAGGTAACATCATAACTTGGAATTCTTTAATAAATACCGGTCTTATTCGATCTCTCAAGATTAAAAGATTGTGTGCATACAGTAAGCTCTTGTTCAACTCTAAAGAAAAATGTAAAATTAGGAACTTATAGATAATAAATGTTGTTTGATATCATTTAAATATTACATGTAGTTAAGGGTAACATTGAACATTTTCACCCCAAGATTGATTGATTGTATGTTGTTTTACGCCCCGTTCGAGAATTTTTCACTCATATAGAGACGTCACCATATATCGGTGAAGGGCTTCAAATTTACTCGGCACTTAGGGCCATAGAGCAGTGAGGGTTCTTTATCGTGCCAACACCTACCTTGACACAGAGCCTCGGTTTTTAAGGTCTCATCCGAAGGATCCGCAACTTTCACTTCAGTGCCGAGTGCTAGGCGAAGGAGCAGTTGCTACCTATTTGCACTGGAAATTTAGAATAGTTTGATAAAGCAAATATCATAGTGCCGTATTATATCACTCAAACATCTACATTTGATGCGGAATTTTATTCATTTTTCATTATTTAATTTCAACAAATGTTTCCCGACGAATCAAATTTAAATAATTTATATGAAAGTGTAATATTGACTAAATATACCAAAGTTTCCCGAGACAATGTTTAGATCAGTATTGGTTATGGTTTTGACCACCAGTAAACTATTATTAAGACGATATCGTCCCAAGAAATATACCTTCGCCTTCAGGGCTCCTTACTAACTCGTAAATATTTGAATTGTAAGTAAACTATATTACATGAGCACACATGCACGTCTTCAAAAACTGGATCTGGTGCATTGTTTTTATTTGTTTGTTTGTGTGATGATTTTTTTTTCGGGGGGGGGGGGGGGGGGGTTAGGTTCCCGGATTAGCTGATCGTCTGCATCGATCACAGTTAATTCTATCCGAGGCATGATCTTTTGCTCGAATATCATGCGACGAACTACTTCGCCATGCAGGTTCTTGTAATTCTGTGTTTCCACCTCAATTGACAGGCCCCTTCAATTAACAGATAGAACGGGGGGAGTAGGGTATAGTTTTTGCTATAGTTAATTTTCCATTAGAAGCTCCCCCCCCCCCCCGCCCGAGGTCGAGCACCGACAAATTCCAGGATTTGGACAGTAAATTATCTTTTTTTTTTTTTGCTTGTCAGATAATTTTGGGAAGTTCCGCCCTCCCCCCCCCCCCTTACACTTTTGGTCAGTGTAGGGTTTTTTTGTTTTTGTTTGTCGAATTTTTTTTTTTTGGGGGGGGGAGACCCCCCCCCCCACTTTTGAAACCATTGTTACGGGCCTGATTAGTGTTATTTAATGAATTCGAACTTGAGGTTTTTTTTGTACCTGTACTTTGTATTTTATTTGGTTCACAGAGTGATGAAAGCTTTCTTTGTGTGGGATTTTTTTTGTCTAACATAAGAAGCAAATATGGTTATCTCGTTTATGGAATTAGTTTTTCTCTGCATTTATGTATATTTCTCTGCTACTGGAACTTCTTTGGTAAAAAAATATTGAAAAGAAGTATATACTTTACTCTTCACAATCATTAATTTTCCTTTAAAAGGAGTACTTGCTTAAATTGTAAATGAAATAAATTGTATAGATTCATTATTTGTGAAAGAACGGGTTCAAGAGACAGAAGTGAGTATTGTTATAAAGATTTTTAAGCCGCTGAATATATATGTAAGATTATGGAGACTAATAAAGATTCCAGACACGGCTAACGGATTTCCGATGACAGTTCGTCCGTCACTTTCGCTTTAACCTTATATAGGTTCATTCTCGGAACTCCTCATTGATATGTATCCGAGTGAACGAGACCTAAGTGTCCTGTCAACAGCTCTATAGACATACACCAAGGGAGATTTCTGAGGATTCTGAGTGTCTTGTGAAGCATTTACTGGGAATGAAGAGATTATCCCAAATCGCTTCGTTCTGTATGATGGAAAATCCATTATTTCTTTTGTTATTGTGATTTGATATGATCCATTTAGGTTATAATGCCTTTCTGTGACAGCTTTCTATGACAATGAGAGTTTTAATAATTCAGACTGTGTTTGGCTATTTTCAATTGTCGAGAATAAGCGTTTACAATGTTGCTTTCAGTCCCAATTTTAGGATGCTCATAAATTTTGTGAAAACATTATGTAATTGGTTTGACATCACGTGGATGATGCAAACTTGATTAGTTGAAACTGAGCCAAATTGCAATCCGTTATAGTGTGTCCAATATTACCCTGTCACACGTCATCAAAGCTTTCGGAATCCCTTTGAGTCGGAAGTCCTTAGGTCTTTTTAGTCCCAATGGATTAAAGAGTAAAATTGAATATCATTTTACCGCTGAAGCGCACATTTTAAATTTGGTTAACAGCAGCGCGTCAAGAATGAAACTTGTACATCAATTTCCAGTTTTCAGACTCTTCTTGTTATTCAATATTTTTAATTTCTAAAAAGCTTTAATGCGGAATTGTAAGTGCGTCGTTGGTGTCTTAATGACGATGTTTATTTACAATTGTACTTCAGAGTTATAAGTTGTGGGGATGGGATTTATTGTATCAACAATGTTGTTTGTCAGTTCTATACGATGAGGGTGTAGGAACAATTGGTTCTTGGACTTTGGTACTGTTGTCGATAGTAAACCTTCAACCTTGCGATTCCTTCAGAAGCTTTTTCTTTGTACAAAATGTCCCATGGTGGGAGGTTTTCTTTACAAAATACATTCACAAAGAAAATGTTCCTTCACCTCTCTCATTCGGTTTGTATTTTCGTAATAAGTACCAACTGGATTCGTTTGGACATGATACTTTTATCATGTTGCAAATTCTGAATTTACTAGGGGGAGGTAAATGCAAAATTTACAACATGATAAGTTATCATGTTGTAAATTTTGCATTTACCTCCCCCAAATAAATTCAAAATATAGA